ACTCATGGGAAAGAAAAGGTTACAAAGAATATGTAGTAGTCTCTTCTTTGGGAACCATCTTCAAATAATTCTCCTCAGGGGAAAAGAGTTTTGCCTCCAGCTGTCTACAGTAGAATTAATCTGGCTTGGCAGTTACAATCCTACATAAATAACTATGTTCCTTTGAGCATCACATACCTGCATCTGAATCTAGAACAAGCTTCTGAGCAGCCACTGCACAAACCTTCTCTTCCAACTTCAAAGTTTGGAGTTCCCCAGACTGCAGAGAGAGAACAAAGTTAATAGATTAAAAAAAGCTAGGATTGCCCAGGGGCAGGGAGAAGAACAGAGACCCTCCCGGTTGACCCAAACAGTAGTGTACACATACCCTGAGAGGGTGGGCACTGCTTTTCAACAGAAGCTCTACAAAAATAGCCACCTGGAAATGGTAGTCCATTAAAAGCATGGACCCAGAGAACTTGGGCATTTTCTTCTAACCCACAGAACAAGACAGAAGCCTACCCAGAACTCCAATCTTGGTGGCTGTCTTTTTAGCTTCACAGCTCTTACTCCTGATAAATCACCTTGTGGCGAGAGGGGCAGCCGATACATTTGATAAATAAATAAATAAAGTGGAAGCAGTGTCTCTAATGCAGTTCAAGAATTGCAGAATGCAACTGGGAGCGAGCTGAAGGTCCACAAGTAAGCAGCCCTGTCATATTGACAAATCCCAGCTTAGTCAAACACTACAGGTAGTCCTCGACTTACAACAGTTCATTTAGTGACCGTTTGAAGTTACAACAGTATTGAAAAAAAGTGACTGATGACCATTTTTCACACTTTGAGCGATTGGAGCAACGCCGTGGTCATGGGATCAAAATTCAGATGCTTGGCAACTGACTCATATTTGCAGTGTCCCAGAGTTATGTGATCACCGTCTGTGACCTTCTGACAAGCAAAGTCAATTGGGAAGCCAGATTCACTTAACAACTGTATTATTAATTTAACAACTGCAGTGGTTCACTTAACAACCCGTGGCAAGAAAGGTCATTAAATTGGGCAAAACTCACTTAACAACTATCTTGCTTAGCAACAGAAATCTGGGAGCCAACCGTGTTGTAAATCTAGGACTACCTATATTTACACACCCTATTTCATGATGGTTCTTTCTCACCCGTTTGAGTGACACTTGTTTAATATCAAGACTGTATTTCTCCAAGATGGGCTGCAATGCTTCTTGCAAGGTTTTAGTCGATTTTGCCAGAATGCGGACTGTCTTATTGATAGGTATAATGTGCAGCCTGTAAAAAGAAAGGATCGGGTTGAGGAGAGATAGTAGTGGAGAGAAAAAAGGTTTATCTATGTGGTTGCTAAGAGTCAACATCAACTTGATAGCACAAAGTGAAAAAAAACCCGCTATAAATATTTTAAATGGGTATAACACATTACATACGTCATAGCCAAATCGCAGCCATCTTTTGCATCGCCTCAATCCTTCCTGACTTCTATGTGCCTATTTACAAATCGTGGTAAATACAAAGGAAAATGAGAAAGCAGCTTAGGAAAGGGGCAGAATGGCATCTCCAACCGCAGGTGTATATATGAACACAGCAGGAAGAAAAACCTTCGTATGCCGTAGATCCACTGAAATGAATTATGAGCTCTGAATTATTTATAGTGGCATAGACATTGATGCTAAAAT